GGGCGCCTGGCGCAGGGGGGGCGAGCGAAAAGCCGACGGCGGCGCCCCCGAAGCGCTTCGCGGGGACAAGGAGCTCCGGGGAGCCGGAGCGGGACCCGTGCGGGAGCCGGAGGCGGTGCCGCAGCGCCACCACCCGGGCGGCGGCGGGGCGGGCAGGGCTGCCGGTCTCGGCCGCAAAAATCATCCCCGCTCCTTCACCGCTGCTTCCCGCCTTCCCCCGCTCCGCTGAGGGTAAAGGCTGGTCAAGCGCTTGTTGAGCCCCCGTCCCTGGAGGGGCAACAGCCTCCCTGGTGAAACTCCTCAAACGCAGACTTGCTCCCGCTCAACGTGCGAGGCTGATGAAATACAGCACGCTTTTCGGCTTCAGTTTCCCCGAACAGCAGCATCAGCCCGGCTTGGTGCGGGCACTCACCGTGCTCCCCGCAGGCGGCCGGGCTGCTGTTAGCGTCCCCCGGGCCCGCGGGGTGCCGGTGCGGCAGGCGGGGCAGAGCTGGGAGCCCGTCCGCAGGTTCCCGCCTCCGGCCGAATGAAGCACCCCGGCTGCCTCACCTGTGCTAGGCCGTTAACGGCAGCGAGTAAACGCAGTGGTTATCCGGGGCAGGTGTGCACGAGAGGATAGACAGCAGTAGATTCAAGCCAGGCTGAGAGACGAGGCCGAATTTAGCCCCTCCAGTCTGCCATTGACAGGAGCGCTGAACTGAGCAAAGCCACTTTTGTTTGAGAATTAAAGCCAAAACTCTCCATAAGGGAAAAATCCAGCTAAGTGTTGTGCAAAGGGAACAGGCTGCTGGGTTTGGGGGCTTCCAACTCCAGCAGCAGAGTAACCAGTGCTAACAGTGGGCTTTTTTTCCCCATCTTCTCCTCTTTTTTTGGCCATGCTTTTGTGAGTGACCACTGGAAATCTGTATGCAAACGCACTGCACCTGCTTGTTCCTCATATGGCTTTAACCTATGAAATAAAAATTTATGTCTGTACTCCAGGTTAACATCTATTTATACTCCAGCAAATTATACCGTGGATAATTATAGAATCATAGAATGGTTTGGGTTGGAAGGGACCTTAAAGATCATCTAGTTCCAACCACCTCTGCCATGGGCAGGGACACCTTCCACCAGACCAGGTTGCTCAAAGCCCCATCCAACCTGGCCCGGAACACTTCCAGGGACGGGGCATCCACAACCTCTCTGAGCAACCTGTTCCAGTGCCTCACCACCCTCACAGTAAAGAACTTCTTCCTTACATCTAATCTATATCTACCTCTTTCAGTTTAAAGCCATTAACCCCTTGTCTTATCACTACATGCCCTCGTAAAAAGTCCCTCCCCAGCTTTCCTGTAGACCAGGTCCTGTAGACCTTTCCTTTAGGTACTGGAAGTCTGCTGTAAGTTCTCTGTGGAGCCTTCTCTTCTCCAGGCTGAACAACCCCAGCTCTCTCAACCTGTCTTCATAGGAGGGGTGTTCCATTCCTCTGATCATCTTTGTGGCCCTCGTCTGGACTTGCTCCAACAGGTCCATGTCCTTCTCAAGTTGAGGGCCCCAGAGCTGAACACAGTACTCCAGGTGGGGTCTCACGAGAGTAGAGTAGAGGGCAGAATCACCTCCCTCGACCTGCTGGTCATGCTTCTTTTGAAGCAGCCCAGAATGCGATTGGCTTTGTGGGCTGTGAGCGCACATTGCTGGCTCATATTAGTTTTTTTATCCACTAATACCCCCAAGTCCTTCTTCTCAGGTCTGCTCTTAATCCATTCTCTGCCAGCCTGTATTTGTGCTTGGGATTGCCCCAACCCAGGTGCAGGACCTTGCTCTTGGCCTTGCTGAACTTCATGAGGTTCATAACCCACTGGCTGTAATTTTTAGAAGGAAAGCTGCTTGTATGTGTCAATATTTATGGAATAAATCCTTAGAAATATTTAAGGAAATAAGTTTTCCCTTTTTCAAACAACCCATACAAGATATAACAGGCCTAATATACTTATGAATAGGCCTACATTTGTCAGATGATCTAGCAAGCCTTTAAAACTGAAGATCACAATGATATTTATTGAAGACAATATCTTTCAAAAGTCAGATTTTCAGGTGTATCGGCTCTACTTCTACCTATCTTTCATCTTGATGTAGGAAAACAAAAGCTCCCTCTGTCTCATATCAGCTATACCTTCTGTATTGTATAGAGAGTCTAAAAGGATGTCTTTTTTTAATCATATAAAGTGTTTTAAGGAATTCTGTTTTGTCAGAGAGGAAGAAGAAAACTTCACCCACAGTTTCCTCAACCTGAAGAGATATAAAACCAATCCAAGCAACAGCAGATATTATTCAGAAAGGTCTGTAAAAGTTAGAGCAAGGTAAACCATTGCAGTGTTGCCTGAGCACTATTTCGTCAAGAAACATGCTTTTCTGTTACACTACATCAATTTCTTGCTGTGTTTGCTGTCATGCTGCAGAGACTATTCCTTAAAAACATGTCAGATAGTAGGAGTAGCAAGTAACCACATTATTAGCTTTGTTCACACTATTTGCTTTCTTTCTCCCCTTCCCCTGTGTGTAAGCAAAAGAATTAATTAGTAACAACATGGATCAGCTGTGATTACTCTTACTGTGGTCCACAGGGAATATTCATATACAGGGAATATTCAAAACCAAACAAGACCTCCCCACTGTGTGTGTGAAGAAGCATGTCCCTGGCCAGTGGGGGAGAAAGGCAAGCTTACCAGCGGTGGCAGGGCTACAATGCACTCACAGAGCTGCCCACTCCCCCTTTTTTTTTCCTGGCACTTGACAGGGACACGAGCTAGACTGGCAGACTGAGGCAAATATAACACAAACAACCCATGAGAAGGGGTTTTTTTTTTTTCCACCTGTGCTTTTTAATTTCTAGGAGCTGTATAACATTTACCACCTTCACACCAGGCTCCCAGGCAAAATGCTTGCAATGGCATCTTCTGGCCGCCTCTGGCTGTGCCGAGTGGGAAAGGAGCATCCCTCTGCAGTCAGGTAAGGGGAGTAAGGGGCACCTCTGAGCCTTTCTTTGAGTGGCAACAAAAGTTAGATTTAGGTGGGGCAATTTCCTATATGTAGAAGGAGGATATGATATTTCCATTCATGAGGATTGTTCCTGTGGATGTTTGCAGATGGGGCTTCGATCCAGTTGATAATACATCCTGTACATAGTGAGAGAGCTAACAGGAAAGCCTGTGTAGTTAGAAGGGGCTGCTGCGAAGGAAGGGGCTGCTTTCCACCTCCCTGGCTTGCTACATTTTTCCAGTGATGTCCCATCTATAGTCATGTGCCAGTGTGGGGGACTGAGATACTGCACCCTGTGCAGCAATGATGCTGCCACAGCCCCGCAGGGAGGGGAAAGGCAGGAAAAGTTTGTCTGTCCCAGTGGGCAACCAGGTGTGAACCCTCAAATTAGGGGTAGGGGGCATCTTTGCCCTGAAATAATCACCCCTTTCCTTTCTCCTCCTTCTTTCCATAGCCTCCCTTGACTCTGGTGCTGGGGTCAAATGGAGGGGGGTGAGGGGGTGGGGCAAGCAAGCAGCTGAAACAGAGCTGGGGGGGGGAAGCCCAGCTGCAGAGCACTCACCTGGTGGGCTGTAACATGAGGCTCTTATGGGGCTGCAGAAGCAAACCTGCACGTTACACCTCAGCAGAGGCTGTACCTGAGCTGCTGGTTTCCAAGCCTTGTGAGGCCAAGTTACTATGCTGCCACACTGGCTGCGGCATGGGCCGGGACAGCAATCTAGGGAAGCACCTGCAGCTGTGTGATTACATGAGGAGCTCAACAACTATCTCATGAAGACATGCATGTGCACCCCCCCCCCCCTTTTATTAATTAATGTGTTTCCCTTAAATGCCTTATTTTTATGGGGGGGAGGTGCCAGTATTATAATGGATGATAGCTGATAGCTGGATTTGCAAATAAAGCTGCTGTTAATTTTTGTTTTGGCACTCCGCAGCAGTCCCTTATCCCATGTTGTCTTGGTGCATTACCCACTTGGAACAAGGAATGGGATACAAGCATTTTTTTTTTTTTTTTAGAAGGGGAAAAACTTATCCTGCTTTGAAAGAAAGGTTGGCCTTACTAGTGCTGGTAGGAGTAATTAGCTACAGGAGCACCGAGCTGTCATGTCATGGTGGAGGATTGTCCTGTGCTTACTGGGCTGCAAGTAGCCTTCTTTCTCCACTGGTATGGCAGTTACTGATCTCAGGCATTTGTACTAGGGCTCATACTGTCGCTGCACCCATTCACATGCTTCGGGCAGCATGAGCAGCACCTTTGGGGAAAGCTCCCTGTTGTGGGAGGCTAACCTGGCATACAAAGGGCTCCTGCCCTGATACGTGGCACTTTCCAGCTGCTGGTGGGCCCACACACCGCTTCTAGTGGGAGCTAGGGAGAAATGTGTCACCCACATATCTGCCTCTGTAGCCCTGCTTATGAGCCTCAGGTATGTCCATAACAGCCCCTGCTGTTTTTAAGGGGCCAAAACTGGTCTGAAATGACTGCTGGGGCAGAAGGAGCTGTGGTGAAGGTGTGTCTCTGGCCTGTAAACAGGACAACCATTGCCTCTTCCCACTGCCAACCCACCCGGGTGGTGCAACCCTCTCCTTGGCTCCCTGCTTGCCTCTCTCCCGCCCCAGTATCCTCAGCTAAAAGCCCTTCTCTGAGCATTTGGGAAGGAAAGATTTATTTTTCCCCTTACAGCAGTGAACTGGTTCTGAGATGCTGAATGCTTGCTTCTGCCTCATATTTCCTGTGTGACCTGGAGCACAGTAGTTAATGACTTGACAGTTCAGTTTTCTGGCTGTAATGTTTTTCTTCCTTCTGATGAATGTTATAGAAATAAATTCTGTAGTACATGCAAAGCGTCGTGCCACTGTGATGAATGGGATGGGGGGTGGATTCTGTAAGTCTTGACAGATA